TTCCGGCCTCCTGCCCGCGGCCCAGCTGCTCGGCCGGGGCCGGAGAAGCCCGGGGAGCTCAGAGCGGTAACCGTGCAGCTGCCATTTCCCCGCTCTGCCGTGCCCGGGCTCCCACGTGTTTAAAGCCCTGCGGCAGAGAGAAGGGAGCCGGCTGCGTCCCCCCCCCGGGTCCCTCTTCCCCTGGTCGGGTGCAGGGAGCCCTGCCCCTCGCTCGGTGTCCGGTCCCCGGTGAATCCGTGGCTGCCCCCACGCCCGGCTCCACCAGGGCCCGCTCTGACGAAAAGAAACGTCCCTGGGCTCGGTTGAAACCTGTGTCTATCGCCCTTGCGGGGGTCACCACCGACTAGGTCTAAGGGGGCTGCGAAAGGTGACAGTGATCAATCAAAAGTGTGCAAATACCCACTTTGCCATTCAGAGGGGTCCGTGCCTCCGCTCAAAATATTTTGAGGGGTCCACAAATGAAAGAAGTTTGAAAACGGCCATTTTCAACGTCTTGGCGATTCATTTCATTGTGTGTCCCCCCTCTTTCTCCTACTGTGAGAGACCGTAAATTGACTTCACCGTTTACTATTTCGTAAATCCTGATCACGCCTGCCCTCGGGCCTGTATTTTCTAAACTGAAAAGGCCTGGTCTCTTTAGTCTCTCTCCTATGGTAGCCCCTCCATGCTGCTAATCATCCTCGTTGCCCTTCTCTGGAGCTTGTCGAGTCCTTCTATATCCTTTTTGAGAACTGGGCACAGTATTCAAGGTGTGGATGAACCATGGATTTATAAATGGGCACGCTGATACGTTTTGTTTTGTTTTGTTTGTGATTCCCCTCTTAATGAGCCCTAACGTTCTGTTTGCCTTTTTGACCGCTGCTGAGCTCTGAGCTGATGTTTTTAGCAACCTGTCCACAATGATTCCCAGATCTCTTTCCTATGTGGTAGAAGCTAATGTCAAGCCCATCACCGTATAAATATAGCTGGGGTTATTTTTACCCAGGTACATTGCTTTACACTTAATTATACTGAATTTCACCTGCTATTTGGTTGCCCATTCACTCAGCCATGGCAGATCCTTCTGTAGTTCCACATACTCCACTTTGGCCTTTATCTTGAGTCTACAAAGGTTGAGAACCTGGGTCTAAACATACCAAACAGGCACGGGGCAGGGAAGGAGTATGGGAGAGAAAAAATGAGCCATGCGATGGTAGCAAGAATCAGGATCCTTTCATTTATTTCTGGGATGTCTTTACTTACAGGGAGGCTTTACTTAGTCGGGTAGAAACTAAGGGCAGGGGAAAGAGGAAGAGCAGAATTGGGGTGAAGGCGAAGGGAGAACTGGAGCAAACATAATCAGCACAGGGCAGAGAACATCCTTTCTAAACCCCCTGCAATTCTCTGCCTTTTCAAGGTCCAGCAGACAATGTGGTGGGAAATCGTGAGGGTGCCTGTAACAGGGTATTCCTGCTCCTGTCACTAGAAAGGCCTGAGAGAATGAGGGACCCTGGGCCAAGAAGGACAGTAAGGAGCAACAACCCAGGTGGACTGGGCCCAGGACTGATAAGGCCAGGTGGCTAATGAAGAAATTAGCTGTACCTGGTGCAGAAGGCCCTGTCCAGTGCCTGAACAGAGACTGGGCTGGGGAGTATTAGTCCAGTCTGACAACATAAGGGAAGCTTCTGCCTGCAATAGGGAGAAGCTCTTTGGAGTGGGCAGCTATTAGAGGCTGGCCACCCAGGGGAAGTGGAGGAGTCTCTTGCAAGAGTTAGGGCCTACAGGCAACATTTACCCTGAGAAGGAAACTATTTGGGTTATGAAGCAGCTGTCTCATGTTTTTGTTCTGTTTGTACTGCAGGACTGAGTTGTGGCTACAGGGAGTGGAGGAGGCCATGAACAGGGATGCCTGGGTGGCATTCCCGTGCTACTTGCCCTAAGAGCTGGCCCTGAGCTAAACAAGTGGAGGCTGGTGCTGAGATTTTCAACTGCCAAGGTAGGGCTCCCTAGGAGGGCTGATACCTGGCAGTTGAGATCTTAAATGGTAGACCAAGGCTGGGCATGTAGCCAGAGAAAAAGGGGACCATGATTATGACAGCAGAGGGTCTGACAAGTCCTCAGAAGCCTTGGAAATGCTCCCTTAAAAGGGAACCTTGTCTGCCCTTAAAAGGGAAACACTTGAAGGGGAGTACAAGCTCAATGGGGCAACTAGCAGTTACCCCTGATACCAGGGACTGCCTCTCTCAACTACAACCAAGTAGCATCAAAGGTGTGGCAAGAGAAAAACCAGAGGTGAAGTGGGGCTGGGAGTAGGGGAAAGCCTGGTGTTGGGGTAGCAGTACCCAGAAGGGTGTTATAATGCCCCAAAACTCATTTCACTAATTTACCTTGCAGTTTTCAGGCTGTACCTACCAATGGAAGGAAGTTCAAAGTGAACAAAAATTAATCACGAAGGGGAAGAAGGAGCAAAATATGGTTAGTTAGTTGTTTTATTCAGTCACTGTACTATAGCTCATTTAATTAGGGTGGTACAATACTTTGTTTTTCTCAGCTGCAGGACAGAAGATGTCTTGCCCCCACTCTATCAAGACCCTTCACAGTTTATACCCACTATACCAATTCATTTTATTTCAGGCATTGTCACTCTTCCCCCACCCCCCCTTTACTCATCCAGTGGTGCTAGGATTTTGGCCCTGTCCCCTTTCTTTGTACTTTTGGCTATATTGTCTGTTATGGGCTGTCCACTAGGAGTGGACTGAGAAACAGGTAAAGAACTAAGCTATTGCAACTTTAAATTTGTTTCATTCAAGATTATAGCACTATAGAAGCAGGTAGTTTAAACTACAACAACTACATATTCAGGTGACACCTAGCCTGCCGCAAGTCTACCTTCTTAAAATGGTTTAGTTAATATTCCATCTTAAGACTGTGGACAGATGTCAAAAGTGAATTAACTAAAGGTAAGACATCAGTGCATATGAATTAAGCGCTTTAAACCTCTCTATGAACTGACTGCCCAGAGGAGTTTTCCGTCTATTGACCTCTCTGTGAAATCCTATGAAATACGAACTTTCATTTCTACCCAGGAGAACTTTAACAATCTTTTCTCCAATGCCTGACGAAGGGTGTTTGTACCCAAAAGCATGCAATTAAAGATTTTTTTTTTTTTGCAAAACATCTTGTTGGTCTAATAAAAGATATCATCTCTACTATGAGTCCTGATTATCTTTTCCTCAAGACTAATGCGGCTACAAAAATCTGGATACTTTGAACCTCTCTGTGTATACTCTTATTCAGAGACAAAGGGTCTACAGTAAATAAAGGTCAGTTTATTCTGGACTGCAGGGCTGTCCCCAGACAAAGTAGATTTTTGCCTCCATATTTCCATAATTAACCATGCCAACTAATTGGAAGCTGATCATCACTAATCAGTGCTAGAAATGCTGCCATTTCCATGCTGCTGCCCTGGACAAGTGCCTGGTTTGTCCATAGGAGGTACAGGGCAGACTCGAACAAGATTATCCACAAATTAGTTCAATGCTTTTTAACTTATACATGTTGACTGCACACTTTAATTGATCTGTCTTAACTTTCTTCAGGCATTGCTTATTGACATAACACTTCTTGAATAAACCTATAAAGCTACTGCTTGATTCTTCTTAAATCCTTTCTTAAAGTTTTAATCTATCATGTTGCCTAGCCCTAGAACACTGCAAGCTGATGATGATTAAGCAGGTGGTGAGCTGGGACTATTGCACAGGATAAGATTTATTTTTAGAATAATAACAAAAAAACTAAACAAACCTCCTCTTGGTATCTATAAATTCTACACACCGCTTGCCTATACAAAAATGTGTTCTTTCTGCTATCACCCTTTTGCTCTCATACACCCTCCACCCCCCCACCCAGTCTTGTTTTATTCTATCCAGTTTTTGTATCTGATCTTAAACTTAAATTGTTGCATCACTGGTATAGGCTATTTGCACAGCAGCTAATGCAATGGCTTCTGGTCTGATTAGGCCCTGTAGGTGCTATTGTAATGCAAAAAATAAATATCCACATAGTAGTATAATTGAATCAACAGCTATGACTGAGTATGTAGTAATAGTTCTGCCAACACAAAGCCAAGAATGGTTTTATATATCCACAAATCAAAGCATGAGCCTATACTAAGTCTTATGCAGTCATATAACAAATGTGACTTGTGTGCATTTCATTTTAGAAATAGGCCACATTGGTATTTGGTTTGTGTGTTATTCTCTAACAACTGTTATATGACCCTCGACCAGTTGTGACACACCTGGTCAGTCAGTCACTGATGTATAGCCATTATGGGTTCACCTTTATTGACCTCCAGTGATGCTGATGTAATCGTGCTGTGTTCC